CCATTACTTCAAACCGCCCTTTTACATATCCGTTCTGGCACATTCTCTGGGTGATTGCGAGCCGGAAAGCAATTTTCGAAAAGCCCGAAACCCAAGGGGGGCCCGGAAGAGTATCGCCGGCCAACCGGATGGAAACGGACAACACCTCTTCCCCGCAGTGCTAACAAGTTGCCATTTTGTGAGGAAGGTCAAGTCGACTTCCCGATGTGAACGAAGCAGTCCTGTTACGACTACCGAGAATGCTGCTTTGGCTTGCGAGGACCCATAACAGAGGTGCCTCGGAGTCCGGGTTACCTCGTTAACGCAGATACAGCCACGGCCATAGAAACAGAGTTAAACTGCTATTATCAAGCTCTGAAAGTCTATTATCCCCGTCGTCCCGTGTATCGAACCTTGATTATTGAACCATATCCAACCTGGCACAACCAGAAACGGAAGTTTGCACCGGCTCCGGATGGTGGAAGAGTGTCTTGACACCGCGTGTAGGCACCTGCCTGGCCAAAGCCTTAGATCAAAGGATGGCGTCCGGGGCAGGAGGAGCGTTGAAGGGGGTATAGGAGTCTCGATTGCCATGGAATCAATTTCTCAGTCAAGACAGTCGGCATCGACCTTGTTGTATGTGGTTCCCATACAAATCGGAGAGAGCAACCTCATGTGGTGGGACATGCGCCACTCGGCGAAACTGCGGATCGTTGCCATTGGACGACAGCCTGAAACAAATCAAAAAAGCCAGGCGAGGGAGAATTGGCCTGTGTCTAGAAGCAACTGTTATCGTCCACAGCAATTACCCTGTCATTTCGGTCAGTGTGTCTTTCTCGTGCTGCCTGCTGGGTACCTGATACAAATATGCCATTCTGCAACGCAAAGACGAGTCCGTGATGGTGAGATTCACGCGACTTAATAATCCTACTCCCCGTAGACATTTCGGTACTGCAAGTGGCTATCTCCAACGGGAACTAAACCCAAACTGCAGAAACGTCAGCACTAATTCAATTGGTCCAAGGGGGCGAAACAAGCGAGAACAAGAGCAACAAGACTCAAGCGGTGCTTCCAGAAGTCGCTCGCTGAAAAGCTTCTTGACGCAATCAACAAATAGCCGAAGTACTGGCTCGACTGTGGCGGCAAAGGCGTGGAAATTCGGTCGAGGATGTTGGCCGCCAGTGCCGAAGTTGTGTGATTCCTTTTATGTCGTTCAGCCCTCGCTCATTTGCCTTACGCACACATTTCACGGCCTACGCTATCTGTTTTGCTGCAAGGATAGACGGGAAAGAATCCTTCGACTGTTCAGAGTTGTTTTCCCCCTCCGCTGCGTTGCGGAAAGAGTTGAGACAAACCACAGTTCCGTCAAACAGCACATCGACAACACACGAAAGTCCTATCGGTCTTACTGAAGTCAGATCCTACAGCGGCGGCTAATCTTAATTTTGCACTCATCCTACCGCCATGGCGTTGGCCTGAATCACAATCCATCACCTCCGCTTCGATACTGATGAACTAATCAGCCCTACCCAGCCTGATGGGAGCTCGCGAGTTCATTGGCCATGACAGTCGGAACCTCAGTCGAGATGTCCTTCAAGAAGAAGGGAATGGCGAAGGAGAGCGATCCAACACATCTCGCAGGCTCGTGACGAAGGCTAAGCTCATCATCACCCCGCTGGATTCCCACCGACGCGAGGCTTTTGCGTCGTATCCATCCGGGACAAGCCCTCTCCCAACGGAAAGTATTGACGAATGTAAGATCACAAACGTCTCCAAGGTCTCCGAGCAAGGATCCGGCTAACATTAGCAGACATTTCCATACTTCGGAAGGAAGAGCTGTGTTTGAAAATCACTCCCGATGTCGACCACCCAGTGATATCAGTCCTTTTTCCGTTGTCGATGCAAGACCCAGGTCTCTTCAAATGTCTGCTTTTCGGAGCCCAGAGTCTCCATGACTGGCGCCGTGATCCCTTTCATGTCAATCGCTCCCGGGACATGCTCAAATTGCAGAACGAAGCCATCCTTTCTCTGCGAGAACGCCTTTCGGCACCGTCCGCGCACCTTGACGATGGTGTCTTGATATCAATTACTCATTTGATGATTGCCGATGTACGTCAATCCACCACATGGGGTCGTCGCGTCTAACCTGTCTCCAGTCCAGTCGTAGGGATCTGGCGTCACTGAAATCTCATCTCAAAGGGGCCAGGCAAATTATCTCGCTACGTGGTGGCCTTGGAAATACGCCTGCTCACCTCGCGATTCGGGCCCTCTTGACGACGTATGTCTCGGGAAATCGTCCACGTCGAACTCTATTAACATCGGGTGTAGGATGGAGTTTTACATTGCCCTTGGCCAATACCTTCAGATCAGTCCTGATGACCCAACCGCCATTCCCAAAAGCCACATCGAATACATCCGACATCCGTTCCCTCCCGACATATGCCGCGAAGTCGCTGCGCTTCCCGTGGGTCTTGCTGAAGCTGCTCTCTCCGGCCATCTGAGTGTTCAATGCATCAAGCTCCTTGCTTCAGTTGCATCATGGGCACCCTTAGTTGACGGCCTCACTACTTCTTCCCCGTCGTCATCGTCAGCTGCCTCTCCTTCTGACCAATCACAAGATCTGAAAACCAGGTATTGCAGGCTCTTCTGCGAACCAAGAGAATGTTCTCGAAGCGCCATCATTATATTACTTGATCTAAAAAGATCTAGATTACCCGTTGGCTTGGAACATGTCATTTGCTTAGGCTTGGCCATCGCCGTCCGCCATCTGAGTGGAGAGAATCGCACCAACATCTTCGACACTGCCTCACTCGCCGCATTGACCAAGAGTGTCAAAGCTATCGAGAGCCCCTCGGTGTCAGACTCCGAAGTCATCATCTGGCTTTCCCTGCTCATCAGTTGGCGTACACAATCTGCGAAGCCTGTACCAAAGGCAGACGCTCTCTTGGATTACGTGTTGGACTCATTTCCCGTCTCGCGTTCCTGGAAGAAAGTGTCGGCAATCTGTCGCAAATTTTGGTGGTTCGACTGCTTTCATGCGGAATGGGAAAAGTGTTGGTCTCGCGGCATGGCAAGACAACAGCAGCGGTTATCAATGGAACAATCTTCTACCACGAGCTCCAGACGACGATCCTCGGTGGGCGAATCAGATGGCATCGCTGCTCTTCAGAGTTATACTGCGCATATCGAGTCTGGGTAATAACTAGCGTGGCAGCCTTTCCTCGTCTGAGGAAACCGCTGGACAGACATTTAACCGGCCCTGGATTACGCCACAGGTATAACCAGCAAGCGCCCAACTTTCGGACCCATGTTGGGAGCATGATGCGATCATGAGACCCGTTTTCGGAGCAGATTATGTCCACTGACTCTTTAGTCCCGAGGGACGTCTGCTATACGATCGGAAGTTCGGGGGTGGTTCATTCGTGAAACCCCAGCTGAACAAACTCACCAAGCCAATGTTCCCCTAATGCTCTCGCATTGGAAGAGCGACAACTCAACTACCTTCCTTATGAGGACGCAGAGTTGGTAGCGATAGACTAAGGCTTCTGGACAACCATCTGCTTGTACCGTAAGACGTACATGGGCATATGTTGGCAAAGCCGTGAGACGAAAGGGCGACTTGTAACAGCAGGATTTACCGATTTACCAGATTCTTCTCGCAAGCGCATTTGGATTGCGCATGCGAGGCACCCCTCGAAATCGAGCTTGTCCTGCGTGATCAGCACAGTCTCCGTCTTTGTTCCCCCCTTCAGTCACGACGGGATCATTAAGGACGCCATCTCCACCTTACACCAGGTAGTACTAAGTTACTGTGCATTTGGGATTGATATGATTCTTGACACACCAGGCCCCAAGGACTTGGAATGTCTCACATTCTCTCGGCCCCAGTATTTTCGCATCGAGGTAAGGAAGGCAAACAAGGACTTTCGTATTTGGTGCCAACACTGCCATTCCCGTTTCGCTGCTATTCCACCTGGCAGTGGTGATTTTTGGGTGTGGAAAGGATGGATCACAGATTAGCCTTGTATAATATCGAACTTGTTCTCGAAGGCGTTCGATCGTGGTCGCTGAGACGTTCGAGCGGAGGATGTATTATATCCGACTCGACTGTCCTGTGACGAAGTTCAAGGTACGGGGCGTCACTCGTTCGTGTGGTATCCTCATGGAGCGGGCCTGCGGGCCGGAGATGTTCAATTAAAATGCGATCCACATCATGCCTAAGGCATTGGTCACCGTACCAAAACACCTCGCACAGAGAAACCATTCTCCGTTAGCACGTTGTTTGAACGGAGTGCATGTTCAGGGGAAGTGGAAGCACCAGCAGATATTGCTCTGCGCATCAGCGGGAGTACGTGGACCGTATCACCAATCAGACGAATGAGCGACAGTTGGCGCCCAAGGACGTGGGGCGAGTATTCGATAGACACCATCTAGAGCGCTTGGTTGGGCGGTTACACGCCTTGGATCTCCATTGAAGGAGTCGCACAAAATAGCAACCGGGCCAGCAGGTCTTCTAGTCTGGCTGGACATTTGACGGGAGGAGCAGCATAGAGAAGGCTTTTGCTTTTATGCACGCTTGCTGTCGCGTTGTTGAGGTAGACAACTGAGGAGGAGGAAGAAGAGGGCGCAAGAGAAATAGGGCGTCGAGTCAAGGCGCCAACGAGTTTCCCCTCCTTACCTTGCACTGAGAGGTACTTGTATTGACTCCTGCAACTCACGCGCACAACCCATCTTCTTCCTCTTTGGAATCTTCCTGTCAGCTCTCAGTTTTGCAGCGCTTGTTTCGTCCTTTGCTCAGGCCATCTTTCAGGTCTTGCTCGGCATCAGCATTTCCCTTCTTCCGTTGTTTCTAAATCCGTGGCCTGGACCCGACCGCAGTTGAACCACATCATCATCATCGCTCATCCTTCTCACAGGGCAGGCCCCACTCCCAGATCACATTGTGAGTTCTCTACCACCTACGAAACCCAACAGCAGTATAATCTACGTTCTGTTCGAGAGCCGCAAGCGCTTCTGGAGCCATGAGTGTCTCGGGCCAGCATGGAAGGCCGGACGGCGAGATGTTCCTCAACCGTCCCAATGACCGCGACTCCCCCACCATCGTCGAGCCGTTGCGCATTAATAAAAGAACCTCCAGCGCCTCCTCAGGCGTGCCCTCTATTGCTGGCAAGCAGAGTCCTGTCCCCCAGCAGCCTGCTCAGCCTGCCACTGTCTACCCGATGCCGTCCCTCCCCTACCCGGACGAGCAGGCTCGCCTGCAAGCACAAGCCACCCGGTCCAATGGGTCTCCTGCCCCTTATCCTTATCCGGATGTGAGAAGAGTGACTTCTCCTGAACAGAGCGGAACTGTAGGCAATGGGGCAAGGCAGCAGGCAAAGAGGACGACATCAGGAGATGGACGTATCCCACAAACACTGGCAGAACGTCGGGGGACGGCGCCAAAGCCTCTGCCAGAATCCCCTGGCCCGGATGCGCCAGATAAAGAAGGACTATTCCAGCGCCCTCCTCAGCGAAGGGATCCGCCGAGTACGGCGCCTCTCCCAAGCCAAAATGAATCTCGCCAGCAGTATTGGCCGCCACCCCCCGAAGGTGCGGCCGCTGCAGCAGACGCTTTGAGCAGGTTGAAGATCAGGGACCCTTCCTCGATCAACCGAATAAGTTCGACGGCATCCACATCCACCACCAGGGCTCAGCGCGGATCTCCTCCACCGCCAGAAACGCCAATCGTTGGCCCGGGGGCCCGTCCACAGACCGACATCGAAGCCCGCTACGCAGCGTCTGGCATTGCAGGTACCGCAACACTGAATAGTTTGCAGGCCCAGAGCCTTGCGGCTCAGCAAAGAGCCTCTCAGTACAACGTGCAACCTCAGCCCGCCCAGACACAGACCAACGCTCCCCCTCGGCGGCCTTGGACGCGACCGAAGCCCCGGGGAGCTCGCAACACCCTGCTCCGACAGTGTATCAAGGCATGGAAGAAGCTCGCCCATCACCCCCAACTGCAGCCGCCGCATCGACGGCGCGCTCAGGGGCTCTTCAATCTCCAACTCGAGCCCAGCACCCTGTCGAAACTGAGATATCCAGGCTGCAGCCTCATGAAGAGCCTCCTCCGGCATACTCTCAGATTCCTGGTGGGAGGAACGTCTCAGGGAACGAGAAACAAAGGAGAAGTATGGTCGGGGCCGCTGTGGCGCCAGCGGCGACAGCAGGAATCGCACCCACAGCAGCTCCACAACCAACCAGCTTCATGCCAGGAACACAGGTCCCCAACCAGATGGACCACCCAGCATTTGCGAACGACCCTAGGCAAGCAGTCCAAAGCCCACAGGCCCATGCGACCATGAACGGTCAGATGCCACAAGCACAGCCCATCGTGCCTCAGACACCTTCACAAATTCCTCCCGCTTCTCCGCCACCGCTTCCCGAGGGTTGGATAGCCCATTTAGACCCAAACTCGGGGCAATATTACTATATCCACTTACCTACACAGTCGACGCAGTGGGAGTTTCCCAAAGGTCCAACGCCGCTCAACCTCAATGATACACCTTTGTCTCCGGTCGCCAGCGTCTACCAGAACCCGCTCGCTTCACCTGGCTTATCTTTCACTTCCAAACCACTGGCGTCTCCGGGCATTCCCATGACTCCTGGATATGAGCAGCAAAGTGTGATGGGCTTGCCTGGACCAGCAGCCTTCACTGGACCGCCTCCGAGCGCTGGTGTGGATCTGTACAAGGTGGTGGCAACGAATGGCGTCTACTTTGGTCCTTATCTTCGCTACGCCAATATGGATATAGAGCGCGGCGTCTGGTATGGATCGATACTGCTGGTCACGGATGCACCCCAACCACCAACAATACACATTCATCAGAGTGTCGATTTGTCGCCAAATCCGCGCCAGTTGAAAGCCAGCTGTATTTCAACTCATCAGCGCTGGACATTTTACAAGTACGAGGTTGACCTGCACATGGAAGAGTCTGGAGCTGCCAAATGGACATATGCCATTACTTCTCATCTGGGTTGCACGAGATATGAGTTCCTGGTGGCTGGCAAACATGAGACCAATTGGCGTTTTGTATGCACCTCTGCGAACGACTTTTCCCTCAACGTGAGCGCCAACGAGCGCGCCAGACTGGGCGGGGTGGGATTCATGTGGAAAGACATCATGCAGAAACATGCCGAATGCGGCGGGTTCCACTGCCAGCTCGGCTTGGGCAGTCAGATCAATGCTGACAGGCTGTGGAAGGAGATACCATCGCTGAAACAGTGGCTGTCAACGAGCGGGAAAGAAAACCGCAAGAATGCAGTCTGGACAGCAGCGCACGAAGAGGACGTGACGCATGCATATTTTCATTATTACACGAGTCATTTTGATCAGCCATATTTGCGCGAGGCTTTTGCCCAGATACCCCATATCTTGACGATTGATGATCACGACATGTGAGTTGATATCACTGTTAGGTTGAGAAACAGGCTGACGAGAACAGATTTGACGGTTTTGGTTCTTACCCAGAATACATGCAATTTAGCAACATGTTCAAGAACATTGGAAGGATTGGTATAGAGATGTATCTGCTATTCCAGCATCACACCACACTCGAACTCCTTCGGAATGTGTCAGACGACAGAGACCTGTTTACCATTACGGGGACGGGGTGGCACTTCGTCAAATTCCTCGGGCCAGCGGTCGCCGTTGTCGGTCCAGACACTCGAAGTGAACGGACACTCCATCAAGTCATGGCAGGCCCTACCTACCAAGGTCTATTTCCAAAGATTGCTCTGCTCCCACCTACAATCCAGCATTGCCTCCTGATGATACCGGTCCCCTTGATCTATCCGAGGCTGGATGCTGCGGAATCGATAGCGCAGACCGTGGCAACCGGGAAGAAAGCGGTGACGGGGGCCTATAACGTGCTCGGCAAAGTGACGAGCTCCGTTGCAGGCGTGGTCGGAGCGAAAGGGGCAGTTGGATCGGGATTTGACTCGGTCAAACGTGCCGTCGGGAAATCTGGGCTCATGGGAGGTATTCTGAGTCCGTTTGGAGACATTGACGTTCTCGACGAGCTGAAGGACCAGTGGACCCACGATTCCAAGGTGAGTGTCACAGTCCCAGCACCGTGCTTTGCTAATGTGATCAGGATCTGGAGCGGACGTACTTCATTCGGACCCTGCAGGGGATCTCGCATCAACGATCGATCCGCATGACATTTGTATCCGGAGCAGTCAACACATGTGGAGCGGGTCTTGTCCACGATCCATCTCACCCATCAGACCACAAGACCATGTACCAGATTATTTCGTCGCCGGTGGTGAATACTCCGCCTCACAGCTATGTTATGAAACTGCTCAACAACAACAAGCCACTCTACATCCCTGCGAATGGACAGCGATCCACCCCATCACAACCGACCGACACGAAAGAAGACATGATGGAGATCTTTACGCACGACGTGACGGGGCAACCCATCAACAATCGGAAATTGATGGCACGGCGCAACTATGTGGCAGTTGTGGTCTATGATCCCGAAGTGGTCAATGGCACATTTGGGCAGACGGACATGCACCGAGGATCGGGCAAGTTGAGTCTGGCGGCCGACTTTTTGGTGCAGGGAGAAGGCGCATATGGAAGCGTGGTCAAATACGGACCTGTGGTTGTGCCGAGCCTGGAGTATGGGCGCTGACGCTTTGTACTCGGTAGATGGAAGTAATTTTGCAAGGCATTGCTGTAACGAAGAGATGGACCATGAGCAAAGTGAGCAAAGCTATACGGAGCGTGCAGCCAACACAGACAGTGCTATGTATGTTTTTGAGCGTGTGTTTGAGCGCATGTTATGATATTGGACGTTGGTTTGTGATTTGTGAGAATGCTATTGTCGCGATCAATATTTTCAGCGATACATATATATCATGTCGACGTGTCTGGATATGTGGATTCATATGAAATATGAAATATGAGCATTCCTACCTATTTTGGATCTGGGATTTGGGATTGATGGGGACGTATATGTAAAGTACACGTACAGAGTACAATTTTAGGGTACAAGTATATATACTATATACTATCATAGTATATAGTCTATGACATATAAATATACAGCAGCACCAGCAGCACCCGCAACCACTATTCTTTTCCTCCACTCACCCCTCCCTTCTCCCCGTCTCACTCCGATTCGGGGGTGAAAAAGGTCCTCCCTCCTAACTCGCCATTCGGCCTCATCCTCGGCCGGATGCCATCGTGATTGGGCATGGCTGACAAATCGCAATTTTTGGAGAATATGGACAACTATGGCGGGATGGAAGGATGGCGGGGAGGAAGAGGGGGACGTGGATTTGTTGATGTATGTATGTACGAGATACTTGTTCAGCACTAGGTAGATGTTGTCATTCTGTCGAGTTATTGTACTATTATTACCTCCCAGTTGTCAAGTAGGTATTTATTTCATGATCCGTCTTTATCTGTTTCTATTTTATCGGTGACTAAATAAACAGATTGTTTCTTTCCTGTCTTCCCACCCACGCCCTAGGTACTTGCAATATATATCTATATCTCCCTCTCTTCTTGTACGATCCGATCCGACAAGTTCCTTTCCTTTAACCATGGCCACCACCAACGGCGCCACGCCAGACATCATCCTCTACACCAACCACGGGTGTCCCTGGGCGCATCGGGCTCATGTGGCGTTGAAGGAGCTCGGACTCGCCTACAAGGAGGAGATTATTGATCTGGACAGGCCGCGGGATCCGTGGTATTTGAAGGTGAACCCGGTATGTTTTTTTTGCCTTCGACTCCGAAGCCTGCCTCCGTCTCCGGGAGAGATTATCTCAGCCGTGTCTCTCCGTGTATGTGTATGTGTGTATGGTGGTGTGGACTGACCGGTCGATCAACATCAACAACAGCGTGGCCTTGTCCCCAGCATCAACTACAACGGACACATCATCACGGAATCGGCCGTGGTCGCGCAGTTCCTGGCCGACGCTCATCCGTCCCACCTGCTGCCGCGCACCGCGTCCGTCGACGACGCCCTGTACCGCGCCCGCGTGGCCTTCTTCGTCGACACCTTCGTCTCCAAGGCTCTGCCGCTAATCTTTGGCGGCTGGCGCGCGCAGACCGACGAGGAGAAGGACACCGCCGCGCAGGACCTGGTCGCCGTTCTCGTCAAGGAGGTCGAACCCCTCTTCGACTGGGCCGGGCAGGGAAAGGGCCCTTATTTCGGCGGCAGTGACAAGTTGACGCTCGCCGAGGTCGACACCGCGCCGTTCCTGCTTCGTCTCCTCGGCTTCACCAAGCCCGAGTACGGCATCCTGAGCCCGAAACTCGACGCCCTGCTCGACGAGAAGACGCCCAAGTTCAAGGCCTGGGCTGCCAAGGTGGTGCAGGAGCCGAGCGTCACGTACATTTGGAACGAGAAGGCCGTTGCCGAGCGGACCAAGGCTCGGTTCGCGAAGCTGGCCTCCGAGAAGAAGCTCTAGATGTAGTAGGACAGTCGCAGTCAAGAAACAGCCTTGCTTAGCACTACTTGCCGTTTAATTTTTGTCTTTGAGTTCAGAAGAGGAGAGAAGGAAAGAAGAAAAGAAAATTTCTATCTCAAGAGGACAGGAAACTCTGTCGCCGAAACTCGTCTAATTGTCTGCAGCCAGTCTTGGACAAAGGACTTGTTTATCGTTCTCCTTTCTGTGAGTTTCATGTGTCGGATGTTCTGATCGAATGCAGTCTTGCGATCGTTGTCTCGTGTCATAGCGCTTATGACGTGCCCCATCAAATTGAATCGCATGCACTCAACCCACCTGAACAAACGATACAGATCCAGAAGTTTTGTAGTTTGGTTGTTTCGGAGGAAAAGCACCTTAACGACCGCATTGAGCATGAGTTTCGTTACAATGCACACTGACACCTTGGTGCCGGGTCAAGTACGAAGTGATATCCAGAATCATCTGAGCGTGTCGCTGCTGAGAGTCGTGCTATCCTGTCGAGAATCGAATGCACTTTGATTGAAATCCATTCGCTGGTTGTCTTGCCAGATGTGTGCCTTTCAATGTAACCGGACTTTGCTTGCGGCACGCAGAAAGCGTAACGCATTTGATGGAACGTAAAGTAGGTGGGTCGTAGAACCATGACAGGAAGTGACCTATCGTCTTTACTGAATCAGTGATGTTGTTTGTCGAGGGTGTTTGGCTCTGGAATAGGAAGTGGTCGAGGCCAATCTGGAGACAGTGTCGGGCAATTGAAGACTTGCTGTATTCGGGCTAGTAAAGTCGCAGCAACCAAAAGAACCTAGGGCCGTCATGGGGACAAACTGATTCAGCGAGACCTTTAGCAGCGCAGAGGTCTTTGACTCTTCTAAGAAGTGGGTTAAAACAACACTGAACGCTCAAGCCTCATGCAGAGCAACGAGCGAGGTATTATTTGGTTGAGAACTATGCAAGTAAATCAACATACCTGGCATATTCCGCACCCACCTGGGCATTTCGCTAGGCAGTCCTATTCGGTAAGTGTGTTACAGCCGACGGTGGTCAAGGTTCAACCGAGCTGTCGAATCAGGCAACCAAAAAGAGCGTCCACGATAGATTCAGCCTAAACGAGTTGTCTAGACGAGCCGTCAATGCTGATATGCCAAGTCAGGGATCTTCATTGCGCCTTATCCGGGCAGGCTCCTCCTTTTAGGGCCTAATGATGCAGCGTGACTGTAAGGGTGACCTCTCTAACGGGCAAACCTGTTCGCGTTGATTTGGAATGGATGTTCGTGGCGTGCTTGAGGGGATGAGACTTGAAAAACACGATATAAAAGCGGGATGCAGCATTGGTGGTGGATTACCCAAACTCCCATGCTCCTCACATCGAGAGTCTCGTTCTGAAAGCTCGACCACCACGATCCACTAAACAATTGTCAACACCCACGCGTTGTTCCACGATGCCATATCTTACCACCAACGACGGCACCGAAATCTACTACAAGGACTGGGGCCACAAGGATGCTTCCAGCACTGTTGTCTTTTCCCATGGCTGGCCGCTGAACAGTGATAATTGGGAGAGCCAAATGTTCTTTCTGGCCAGCAAGGGACACCGGGTCATCGCTCATGACCGCAGGGGTCACGGCCGTTCAAGCCAACCCTGGACAGGTAACGACATGGACACCTACGCAGACGACTTGCTGCAGTTGTTCGAACACCTCGACTTGAAGGATGTGATGATGGTCGGACACTCAACAGGCGGTGGTGAAGTTGCCAGGTTTCTAGGCCGTCACGGTTCCAGTCGCGTCAAGAAGGCGGTCCTGGTCAGCGCGGTGACGCCGCTCATGCTCAAGACCGAAGCCAATCCCAAGGGCACGCCGATCGAGGTCTTCGACTCCTTCCGAACCGCCATGATCAAGGACCGCTCACAATTCTTCATCGACGTCCCCTCTGGTCCGTTCTTTGGCTTCAACCGTCCCGGCGCCAAGGTCTCCCAGGGTCTCATTCAGTCTTGGTGGCAACAGGGGATGATGTGCGGGTTCGTCAACTCGTACGAGTGCGTCAAGGTCTTCTCAGAGACGGACATGACTGAGGACTTGAAGAAGATCGAAATCCCCGTGTTGATACTGCACGGTGACGATGACCAGGTCGTGCCGATCGAAGCGAGCGCCCACGAGGCTATCAAGCTGTTGAAGAACGGCAAGCTGGTGGAGATCAAGGGGGCACCTCATGCGTTGCCGAACATTAATGCGGATGAGGTGAACACCGAACTGCTGAAGTTTTTGGAGGAATGAGTTGCAAAGGGAGAGCTCGCTTTCGGCCCTGAATACCGTTGTGGACACGACTTGGATGAGACGTGGATACCTGCTAGATACATGATATTGAATTAATATTGAATGAGATGCGCCCTCAAACTTGAATCAGCGATGTACTAGGGCGGCGGAGATCATGTCCGAATACGGAATGTTCGCGGCCCAAATCTCATGCTGTTTTTGAAGGAACTTTGTTCACTTTTCTCGACTTGCATCGTATTGATTGTCCAGTTTTACACATACACAGTGCATCGAACCAAGGACCAGGATGCGTCATTCAGGTCTTCAGCGCGAAGTCCTCAAGCTGTACCGAGCTTGTCTGCGTGCTGCAGGCAAGAAGCCAGAGGTTGGTGTCCCCGATTCTTCTCCTCGCCACATTTGTCACTCGGTCATATCTTACTCTACCTTGGTTCAATAGGCGACAAGAGAGCACTTCCGGACCGCAGCAAGGTGAGTGTTGCCACCACGAGCTGTTATACAAGGCGGCTGCTATAGGATATTGACTGATCAAATCACTTTAGACGCGAATTCCGCAAGAACCAGACTGTGGACAAAAAGGACTTTGGAGCTGTTGAAACACTGATCAGAATGGGAGCCCGCAAGCTCGAGCTCTACTCGTCGCCTGGTGTTACAGACATCCATTGAGCCTGGCGATAACCCCGGTCCATTCCGATGAAATCGACTTCCCATCACGGCCTTTGTCCCCTTTGTCCTCATCGTGGTGATGCTCTGTGTGATCACGTGACACGGAAGCTTCTGGCTGTATACCGAAACATCTGGCGCCTAGTGGCAAAATCGAGCAGCAGGCAGAGGGTGTTTGCGTTTCCCAGAAGCATCCAGCAAAACGGTGGCACGGTCGACATAATCTGCTTTCTCATCCATCTCGACTGGCCCAGCACCTTCTATCAGGCAAGATGAAA